CAACATGAACCACAAAGGCTCAGAATACATCAATGATAAATGCTTGTACGTGGAACTGAGTGTGTTAGGGCATGTTGAAAGAAACCCAAATAACCATCTGCACAAGGAAGCATATACAGAAAATAATGCAGAGATGTAGATGCAGCAGACACACCTGTGATGACTCACTGAAGGAAGTTCACATGGTTTATACAGTTCATGTATAGGACAGCTTGGATTTTTATGCCTATTCTGATTAAAGAAGGTTGATGACACTCATGTAGAAAATTATATTTATTCTACACAAATGAGCAAAATTATTCAAATAAAAGCTAAAAGTAGACTGAGGGAAGAGAAAAGTGCAGAAACAGCACCGACTTTTTATTTATTTTTGTTCAAATTCCACTGCTTATCTTTACATCCTGAATTTTAATTGAAGTGCATAACCATAAGCATGATGTTCTGCTCAGTCTGCACATCTTCACACAGCTATAATACTAGGAGTTGGAGCCATACTCCTTTTCTTATCGGGAAGATAAACACTGAAGTTAGCTTAGTTGATCCAGTTGCTCAGACCATATTTCAGGATCTCAAGATCAATCTCTTCAACAACCCATGCAAAAAGTCGACGCTCATAAGTCGTAATCAGTCTCCTATCTCCCCAGCTCAGCTGTTCCTCTACTACAGTTATCTATGGCAAATGAAGGGTAGTAATAACCCTTACAATTTTTGCCCATCTTCAGCTTTGTAAGTTTTGCTCCCTCTGGTGGAAGCACTGAACGCAAAGATTATTCTCTGAACTCACCCCCCAGAGACCTAAAGCCAAAAAGAAAGCTTTGCTCTCCTAGAAACATTCGCATCTCGCAGCAAATTCAAGTAGATACAATTTAATGACAGGTAAGCCAACATGTCATCAAGAGAAACTATTTGTCAACAATCAGCAAGATAGTGCCAGAACTAGAAACAGACCAATGTCATTTGTCAGGCTTCACCTCAGAGAAAGAGGAAAGCAGCAGACACACAAATATGACATGAGTACAGATAGGAAGAAACAGAAGGCTAGGCAAGAGATATAACTATAATAGAATAATTCAAATTATAACCTCAATGAATGCATCACATGATTCTCTAACAGACATATTTCTATGATAACTCTTCCCATACTCCCCTTCAGCTGTCAGGGATGGGAAGGACATAGCTACTTTTATTCCTTCCATCTCCTAAAAAGACAGAAGAAATACTATGGAACATTAGCATTCATTCACTCATTCATTGACTTAAAGGACCTAGGGCGACAGTTTTCTAAAGCATGCTCCCTTTGCCTAGAAGTTGTTGTAGCAACAGTAGCAACTCAGCCCCACGCAACCACTCACTCACTCTGCCCTGGTGGGATGCAGAAGAGAATCAGAAAAGTGATAAAACCCAGGGGTTGAGATAAAGGCAGCTTAACAGGTAAAGCAAAGCAAAATAAGAACTTCATCCACTGCTTCCCACTGGAGGCAGCTGTTCAGCCATTTCCAGGAAAGCAGGGCTCCATCACACGTAACAGTGACTTGGGAAGACAAAACACCATCACTCTGAACATCCCCTCTTCCTTCTCCTTTCCCCAGCTCTATATACTGAGCATGACATTGTGTGGTCTGGAATATCCCTTGGGTCAGCCATCCTGGTTGTGTCCCCTCCCAACTCCTTGTGCACCCACAGGCTTCCCACTGGTGGGGTGGGGGTGGGGAGCAAAAAAGCCCTTGACTCTATGTAAGCACTGTTCAGTAGTAATGAAAACATCCCTGTGTTATCAACAGTTTTTCCAGCACAAATCCAAAACAGCCCCATACTAGCTACTATGCAGAAAATTAACTCAATCCCAGCTCAAACCAGCACAGTAGCAAACTTAGGCTCCCCAAGAAGTGAAAAGAGATAGTTCTTATGAGGCTTTTCACCCCCATGGACTCATTCCCCACCCCACTCCCATCACAAAACACAAAAGAAAGATGTGCAAGTTTGTTGTAGGTTCTTGTTCACACCAAACAATTTGCCTTGCACAAAACAACTGAATATAGCAACAGAAAAATTGGAACAAGAAGCCTATCCAAGGAGCTTTTCCAAGTAGCCATTTCAGTTAACTTGGTGCCAGACAAAATAAGAGCCAAAAGAAGGGTTAACATAGTGACAAATTATCACACACCACCTTGTTGCGGGCCACAGACAGCAGGACCAGAAAGCAAGGTCTTCTTCAGTACTCTAGTGAACTAGTAGCCTAGTACCAAAGAGAAAAGTCTAGGAATGGCAATCTGTTAAACTAACAAGGCTTTCCTCTTGTAATGCAGTCAGGCATATAGAGGAGGCTGCTCTTACAGGTGTGTCAAATGGCTCTGGTGGAGCTGTCATCCTTCAGCTTCCACACTAACCTCCAACTAGCTCACCACCACCACCGCTCTCAAACAAAACTGTGCCTCCAGTTCTGCCAAGTCAAAAAAGTAATAAATTTCTCACACTCGATCCACATGTGTGGATCTAATTAGCTCAATGGTAAAGACAGCAGCTTCACCTGTAACTGAAATTTCTATTTCCATTCACTGCCAAATAGGCAAGGTTCTGACATCCACTTGTTTGAACAGTTGAGTAACACTGACACATGCTATCTGGATTTGTCCTCCTAGAGCTGTGTGTCCTTCCCTTCACTAAAACTTTGTAGGAGGATAATTAGACCATAATAGCTTAAACATAAATCACAATCTCAACATTTTGCATATAAAGATTAGTATCTACTTGTGGTCAAAACTGGAACATAGAAGTGGAGAAACAAACCCCATTCACCTCCATCTAGTCGAGTGCTGGTGTTATTCTGGAGTGCCTGTTTTAGGTACCTGCTGTACTGGTCTGGCTGTAGTCACTGTACAGATTAGGATCAAGTAAAAACAAACTACTAATCAGAAAACCTTTTTTTTGTTTGTTTGTTTTCAAAGCACTGCTACATTTTCATACAGAGTATGCATGTAGTACCACCAAATGCCATGCATAATCTCTGAGCACACACACCAAAGAGTATCAGTGTTTTCCTTCTCTGCCCTCATTCTCTCCTTCACTGCCTTTGATTTGATTCCACTGAACACATTTCACATTCTCTCGTATTACAGACTTACTATCAAGATAGACTCTTTGAGGTTACAAAAAGCTAACTTTGCCTTCTTTTTTTCTAATCAGTTATAGATGCATTCTCCTCAATACAGCATAATTTTCTAACTCCAGTTTACACTCCAGTCATAATCGGTGCTCTTCATACACAACTGGACCCACATTATGTACAGTCCACTAAAGTCTAAAACCAAAGTACATATGATTTTTAACTGCTTATAACAAATCTTTTAGACCATGTGTTCAGCCACCCTCCACTGTGATTATCCCCAAAAGCTTCAACAGAGCTCAGCTAGTATTTCAGAAAAACATCTTGGTTTTACAGGAGTATCTGCTGTGAAATGTCCAATACAGGGAAGTTTTCCAGGCTTTGATAAAAAAAATAACTTTATTATCATCAAAACATCACATCCACAACATTTAAAATAGATTTGGTAGAAGCTGCATGTCATGAAGCAATTAAATGTATGACTACTACAATGAACACCCATAATTATAAGACACCAGCATCACACCATAAAAAGATGGTCATCTTCTTGGTTTACCTTCTACAGGACCCTGCAAAAACTACACACTCTATAGAAAGAAGTGCTCGGCACCTGCCAAGACCAACTCACAGCCTGCACGCCTGAGGCACCAAGCCACATGGTGCCACTGATCCCAGATGCAGGTATCGCTGCACATTGTGCACACTATCTGTTCCATCACAGTGAGCTCAGTTTCAGCTTGCCCCACTTTTGTCAGTTTTCCAGATCCTTTTTCATGGACATGTTTAACCTAAGGTTCCATTCAAAGAAATGGCTGAGGAAGACGGAAGGGGAAAAAGAATAATTCAGTCACTTCCAAAATTCATTCACTAGAACGCTCCTTCCTCTGTATTTAGCTTCCAGTTACTTCTTCTCACTTATTAAGCATATTTTGTAAGCCCAAACCATCAAATTCTCTCTACATAAGCACAGGCTGTTTCCCTTGATGTGTTTCATTTATTCATACATTAATGGAAATGTGAATTTTAGTAGGAATTCCTCACATGTAATTTCATGATGCTAAAATATTTCTATGAATATTTTAAGGTTACTTTACTCATGCGCTCACAAACACGTAAACAGTCTGTAGATTTAGGAGATTTAGACCACTTTCTCCATAAGCAAGCATTCTTGTACAACTTCAGCCACTAAACTCTGCAAACCTGAGTTTCCCCATCTTTGTAATCTTCTGATGTTCACTGCAAACGACAGGATTAACAACCTTCAGGAATTTCTATGTCACTCGGACAAAAGACACCACCGAAGCGTTCTGCCTACGAAGTACATACAAGATTCCCCACAGCATTGCGTGCAACACACAGTATCGTTTAAGGTAGCACGAAAACATCACCGGCAGGCGCACCTAGGCACAGCACACTGCGCTGGCCATTACTGCCCACCCTTCTCCCTGCCGACGGCCCCGTGCCCAGCTGCGGAGCCACATCTGGCCGCCGTGGGATCCCAACCAGGCGGCTCGGGGCGGCGCCGCGCAGCCCCGCGGCCTGACCCCGGCCCCGGGGGGGGCGCGCTCCGACAGCGGGAGGCGGCCGCGCTGCCGAACCGGGGGGCGCGGGGCGGGTGTGTGGAGCGAGCGCACCTGCACGCGGAGCGCGGCTCCCCGCCCCGGCGCCCCCCCGCGGGCCGCGGCCGCCCCGATCCCCTCTCCGCGGGTGCGTGAGATAACCGCCACCGTCCGCACGGCCCCGCGCCCGGCGGAGGGGGGGGGGGACACCCGGGGGAGATGGGGCGGGACGGGACAGCGCGAAGAGGGGGGCGCTCGCACGGTACGGCGAGCAGCGTCGCCCCTCCCCGGCGAGCCCCCGGGAGGCAGCAGCGGAGCAGGCGCCTCCCCATCCTCACCTGGTCCACGGGCAGCCGCACGGCATTGCTGAGGGGCTGCAGCAGCGTGGAGCCGGTGGTGCTGGTGGCCATGGCGAGGGCGCCTCCTCCCGCGCCGGGAGAACGGGCGATGAGGCCGGGAAATCGCTCCCCGCCGGGGTACCCGCAGCGGCAGCAACAACGGCGGCAGCGGCGGCGCGAAGAGCCCCAGCCCCGCACGGCGCCGTGACAACAAGGGGCCGGCGCGGTCCCGCCGCTGACTGGCAGCGCCGGCGGCCAACCCGCGCGCGGCGCCGCTGCGAAGTGACAGGCGGGTTCGCCCAATGCCCGCCTCTCGGCGGGGGGGGCGGGACCAGGCGGCTCCCCTCCGGCGGCCGCGGACATGGCTCGTCGTGGGGGGCGGGAGAGGAAAGATGGTGCCTGGGCAGGCGGGGGTCGGTGGGGTAAATCACGGGGAGAGGGGCGGCTCTGCGGCCGCCGCTCCGAGCTGAGGGCGGGCAGAAGCTGAGCGATGCGCGCAGGTACCGCGCAGGGCCCAGAGTGGCCTCGCCCTGCGGTAGGCGGGGTTGCGCGGGGCAGGGGCTCGGCCGCGCCTCTCCGCAGCGTGCGGAGCGCTGAGCTGCGCCGAGGTGTGAGCGACCGCGTCGAGGGCGAGGAGGGGGGAATGGGGCACCTGGGGGGAAATGGCATCCTCCAGGGTAGCCTGGCAGCGGAGCGTCCCAAGGAAGCAGGGTGCTGGCCTCACCAGTGGGGTCTGTGCCAGGCGGAGGTCGGGCAGCCGGGGTGGCAGCTGTGGAGGTACCTGCCGCTGAGAGCAGTACAAAACCATGCGGACACAGGTTTATGTTGAGGTAACGAGATCAGGCCCCACTGTGCTCCTAACCATCTCTCCATCACCATGAAGGGCACAGAGGCAGCTCAGCACTCAGTAGCTGCATGCCCAGTGGTGGATACACACAAGGTGTGAGGGTGGCATGACATCCTGAAGAAGTCACAAAAATACAATGAAACCCCTTTTTCCTACAGCCACCCACTGACTTACAGAAGTGTGTCTATCGTGGCTATAAGCCACAAGTTTCTAGCTTATCAACAGCCTGATTCTTAGAGAAGCCAGAAATAGTATAAACCATACCGAAAGAAGTGGTAAATGCTCCATCCCTGGCAGTGTCCAAGGCCAGGTTGGACGGAGCCTTGGGAGACATAGTCTAGTGTGTGGTGCCCATGGGACATAGTAAGGTCCTTTCAAACCCAAACCATTTTATGATTCTAAGCATGAATACTTTGTCAGCAGGTTCAGCCTAGCAGTGCAGGTCCCTCAAAGAAAGCAAGAAGTGATGTGATGATGTCAATAGTAAGGCAGCACAACTCTTCTGCCAGTTCAGTCAACACTATCCAATGTGAAACAGAGCAAAGCATGGAGTGAAGGCTTTAGGTTAGGTAGTGCAGCAAATTCCACCAGATGAACTTGTGCAGTAGACCCCTCACTAAATCATCCTGGATTAGCATCCTGCCTGCCTCTTTTGCTTTAGAGCTTCCAACAGAATTTTGTCTTAGGAAGCAGCTGTAGCCTTAAGCGTTCTAAATTTTGTGGTGTAGGAATATGCTCCTCTTACCCATAAAACTGCTCAAGAATCCTGGGTCTCAAGAGAAACCTGCAAGTTATTCCTTGCACTTTAGCAAGCGTTGTTTTATCATTCTTGTATACTCTACCTCCAAACCATGCTGTGATCTGTACTGTACACTCAATACAAAATTTCCACTGTTTTTAAGTATGTGAATGATGAAATGCCATGTCCAATATCATGCAAACAGTCTGAATTGTGTCTGGAGTAGTGGCTAGGTACAGTGATTTACACAGTCGTTTACATTCACCATTAATGCTAATTGGCAGTAGCAGGAAAATGGAGGTAAGTGTAATTACCTGAAATATCCGTTGTTTCTCTTACTGAATTGCAGACCACACTCTGTACTTCTGTTTTACCTTGTGGTAAGGTCTTTTATCTGCATTTAAAGAGACTGGTTAATAGGTACAAATAAGTGAGTTTAATTAGATTTCTTCATAGCGTAACAGGCAATTACAATTGTGGTAGCATCTGCAGTTTCAGAAGCAATAGCATGATGTTTTTGTAGTAAAGCAAAGAGAGCTGCTTTCAGGAAGGGGGGACAAAACCCAAAACCCAACCTTTCCCCAGTTAATTCTGAATCAGTCTCTTAAATCTAAACCTGCAAATTATCTATACACACGAGTAACTTCATAGGAGTGCAGTGCCACTATGTTCAGTACAGTCTGCTTTACGTTATACATATGTATATATGTATAAAAAGACTAAGCTCATTTTATGTGATTTTCTTGTAGTAAGGGGATGTATACCTACGCACAAATCTTTGGAAATCTTAACCTAAACATTCTCGAATGAAACCACAAAAAAGCTGCTTTAGAAAAGGCTGATAGCTAATTCTGAATCATAGTCTAGTCACAAGAAATGATTCTGGTGCATCTATATAAATCCATGGAGGTGGTGTTACTGAGACTTTCACAAAATACTCACAGCAAATAATCAACCTACTTGAGTGAACTCCTTACTGCCAATTAACAAAGTGCCCAAGAACAAGCTCATGATATCACAGCATCAATGTCAGTTGGTTTTATCACACAACCCTTCATTTTCTAGTCATTTGTATTATTTTTTTAAATGTATGGTTCTTGGAATGCTCAGAAAATACGAAAATATGCTTCCCTGCATGACTCCTAGGATCATGGGAGTTCATACTTAAAAGATATATTTACCTATACTACAAATCACAGTATCATAGACTCACAGAAGGGCTTGAGTTGGAAGGAACCTTAAAGTTCCAGCCCCACTGCCATGGTCAGGGACACCTTCCACTAGACCAGGTTGCTCAAAGCCTCATGCAGCCTGGGATGGGACAGCCACAACTTCACTATAACTAGTTTGCACCTATGGCACTAAGTTACATAATTACATCTTTCACAAGTTTCCAGGGGGAAAATGCATTGTGTTGAGAAGATGTTCTTGTGCTCTTACTTAGGAAGGTGTGCACTGTCAGAGGCAATGTCAGAGAAACATACCTTGAAAATAGTCACTACAGGAAGTGTTGCTGGGGGAGATTGGTTACATGAAGGAACAACAGGGGTCCTGCCCTACAGAGCTTAAAATCTGGCTTTGCAATTAAAAGTAAAGCATACAAATGCTGGTTGAAAAGAAAGTAACAGGAAAATAAGCAATTTCTGCCAGAGAAAAAGTAGCTTGTCTTTGATGTCTGCTGTAAAATGTATGGTAAGGGCTTTTGTGGGCACTGCAGTAAAACTAGGTCTTCTGCTTTTTTTTCATTGAAAGAAGTGTTCATTAGGTATGTTTTCAGAGCACTTCCTGCCTGTGTGAGACTACTACCTTGTGTGTGGGAAGGTGAAGCACTGGTTGGCAATAAGGTAGCATTCTTCATCAGATTGACACAATAACAGTAGAGCTAGTCCTGAAAGTTAAATGATGCTGTTAGAAGGAAGGCTGGTGAGGGATACAAGAAGGTAATGTGAAGAGAGTGAAACTTTCACCTAAGTGGGACAGTCTTCAATAAACATTACTACTTTCCTACTGTTTTAAATATTTGCTTGTAAGTGAACAAGAAGTGGTACTTCCACAGCAAAGTTCTTTCCACCAAAGGCTGTCAGGCAAAAGCAGGGCATGTTGATTCAGATAATCCTTGGAGAGCGTCTTGGCATATGATGATCTTCTGATGTTCTGCTATTAAGTTTTTATGGTCCCATAAGTGCTCATAGTTCTTAGGTATAAAAATAATCACAAAGACATCTCTCAGCCCTGCAGATATTACTTAATCTCATTACCAATTAAGAATTACTTAATTCTGGTTACTAAATCAGAATGATCTCATCTCACCAGAGGTTTCCTGTGAGCTGTGTTTATTTAACAAATTAAGATATTCAGGTGTTTACAGTACTATTTTTCCCATATGACATTCTACAGTAAAGAACAAAGAGAGAAGAGCTGTGGCAGCGGACAGGAAAGGATGACAGGACAAAGCTACTAGATGCACCACTGTGTACAGTTCTAGTTTCTCTGTTTGGTAAGGTTGCTCTGGGAACACATTCACAGTTGGAAAATAGGAACAATTGAAACTCCTTTTAACAAAGCAGACGAAAAGGAAAATGAGTTTCAGTATTAGCTATAGAGAGATGATCTCTCTTCTGTAGTAAAGTCTTATTTTAGCCTTACCTATCTGGCTTTGTTTAGCCTAAAATATTTGAGACTTCATTACAAAAAAAGAACATTTCTGCAAAAGCTTATGCCAGTCAAACCGAATCGCTGTTTATAAAAAAGATCTATTACTGACATTTTGGCATTTGTATCTTTGTTCCACCCTTCCTCCAGAGCAGCCTTTTGCCATCATTTCAAATATTCTGTACAGCCTAATAAACCTGTCTGCATCAGTTGTTTTCTGAACTAATATAACAATTAATGAACCAGTTCTGCTATATTAGTAATTTAGTGCCCAGTAGGAATTCTTCATGATACCATTGATTGCAGGCTCAAGTAACATTTGTTAGGCTCTTACTTATTAGGAAAATATAAATACCTTTCTACAGTCTAGCTACAAGACAACTAAAATCTCCCTGTGGCTCTTTTAGATTTTTGACTTGTTCCTTTAATTTGATCTTAGAGCTGCTCTTGAGAGTGAGCAAGCTTCTCTGGTTTTAATTCAGCAATCAGTTTCTGTCTTAAAACTGATTTGGACCAATTTTCTTTCCTTTAAGTGCTTAAGTTGTATAAATTCTCTGATGGGGAAATACATCGGTGTCTCCCAAAAACATAGACTTACGTTCATCTCAGAGCATTTTGGTTTTCAATTATAACATGAAGCCTGGTAACAGAATCAGGCAGAGCTTCTAAAGGAGGATGAGTGAAAGCTCATCTTTGCTGTTCAGCTGTAAATTTCAACACTCAGGTATAGATCTTAGAGATTATAATTTCCTTGCTAAATGAACTTCCTGCTTCCATGACAAGAACAAACCAAGTGACTTCAACAAGAAGTTACTTTGATAAATGAGCTGCCTTTTTAAAGCAAATTCTACTCTCAAATTCTTTATAGGGACAAACTGACAGCGTACAGTGTTTCAGAGTGTAATAACTGCTGCCGCATGCAATTGGGGGATTATTGTCACTCTGATGAGTGAAAAATTTGGGGCATAGAAGCCCTTTCTGAAGAGCTGAAATAAAAGCACTGAACT